GAGCCTATGACACCACACTTAGGACTTAGGTGTCTCCCTGCAACACCCATCGCATGATAATCTGCAGTGGTTAAATTCTGAAGTTCCACCGCCTAATTCTTGTCGGCTTTGGACACCCGAATTTAACCAGGTCATGACCTAAGCCAGGCCAAAGCCTACTCAAAATCCCCAAGGAGCAGCAAGTGAGCAAAGTCGACCCGCCTGAGAAGGACGAAGGTGGGAGACAGCTGTCCTGCTTCCAGCCTGAGTATTATGCGCATTTCGGGCTAGATGGCTAGAGGCTTTGTTGTTCTGGTTTATGAGCAAACTGGATTCAAGGGAGAACGTGTACCATTCTTTCTCAACTGGCGCATTCAGTTCGCGCTTTGAGTGCCTGAGCTTCAGCACGAAAACGCGTGTCTACACACCTAAGACCCTCAGTCCACTGGGTTGCTCTCTGATGCCCGCAACTCGGACCGCCATCTGCGAGGACCTGGCGGCTGGCTGGAATCCCCTGACTTCTGTAAGGTATGAAATGTAAAGGCCTCAAGAAGCTGAAACGTATCCTGGGGTGGTCAGTGATTGCAAATGTTTGTCATTTTTCAGGCTGCGACTTTGGATGCAGTGCAGGTAGGGAAGGAACTTGATAAGTTCGAGGACAGGGCCATGTTGCGGATGATTGAGCTGCAGTTGCATCCTACTTGTAGGCAGCTGTGGTGATGGGACTCCAAATTTATGTGTTCAAGCATTTCTGAACTATGCCCGTCCTGAAGCCCCAAGACCTAAGTCCTGCCTCGCTGATTGCAGGCCTGGTCATGGAGGGCACCACGTTGCGTTCATCGCTGTCCAGTTTGGAGCAGTCCTTGGCTTCGCGGACCAAGCAGACCCGCGTCATTAATTGGGTGGGTTTTGGATTTAGGGTCCAAGGTTTAGGGCTCAAGGGGGGTCAGAGCACCTTTATCCTGTGTCTGCACTCTACATGAGTCTGAGGGCTTATCATTGGGGGTAGCAGGACGCAAGGGCCCAGACATCGGGCTACTCCGTTGCTGGACAACGCTTGGAGTCCTTGGCGGATCCTCTTATACCCGAAGCCAGTACCCTAAATCCGAAACAAGTAACCATATATCCTGTTTAAGACCAGTGCTCAGAGCTTGCCTGTCTTCAAACAAGGATCAGCCATCTTACCGAACAGTGGCTCGGACTTTGAAGTTGGGTTTTCGAGGATTTGAAGCGGGGGTTTGGGCTTTCAGGGTTCAAGATTTAAGTCTGAAGCTTTCACATCGCATGCCTGGCAACTCCCACATCTCGTCTCCCCAGAAGTTCTGCTTGGCTTCCAGGTGCCCTTTGAGGTTTACAATTTAGAGCAGCCGTGAGTCTAGGTTTCTGATCTAAGCTTGAAATTTTCCTAAAGTTTTCAGGTTCGTTTGAATTTCTCCCAATTCCCGGCATGCTGCATCTTAGCGCCGGGAGAGAAAGAATCCAAGAATGGACAGCATCTCACAGTTGTCGGAGGTTTTCACGGGCGCGCAGGACATGTATAAGCGTTGCAGCCTGAAACCTCAACCCTTATTCTCCACCTCAATCCTGGATGTATGAACCCTGAACCCGAATTCACCCCGAAACCCTAAATCCCAAACTTGCAAAGTCTTTCACCTCTTTTCAGGCTGAAGGTCTGTCAATCGACCCGAGATGATAGACAACTTCAGGCAGAAGAGGCGAAAACGAAGCCTGTCGCTCCTTTTGAGGTCTTAGGGTTTAGGGCTTGGGGTTTCGGATCTAGAATTTTAGATTCTCGGGTCCGGGGCTGAGGTTTGGGGCCGAGCATTTAGGATTCACATTTCATGGCTTCCATTTGTCAATTTTCAAGGAAAACGCGGATAATTCGGGCGATAATTTCTGTGCATCTTGAGGTGCCAGTCTCTTCGAAGACATGTACTGAGTCCGCGTCATGCAGATTGCAGACTAGACTGGAGCTTCCAGAAAGTGGCCATATCTCAGGGCACCATTTCAACGAAACAAGGTACAACATGTTGCCACCCAACTTTTCTTTAATGTCTGCTGCAAGTATGTCACATCATGAGATTCGCGCCTCATTTGGCAATCGAGATACTGCGGCTGCTGCTGCCCGCGTTTTTGAGGGAGGCAAATTTTCATCGCGTGCTCTAAACCTGAACCCATGAAGTTCTTGCTGGCTCTTGAAGGGGGGATGCGGGCGGCAGGCGTGCTTAGGAAGGCCTCGTTGTGGTAGGATTCACTCCAGCCCCCACTCCCTGCACGTGATATTGTGTTGAAATCCACCATGCCGAAGTGCTGAAGACAAGCTTCCAGGGTTTAGAGTTTGGGGTTTGAGGCTTTGGAGGTTACGGCTTGGGTTTTGGAGGCTGAGGCTTTAGGGAAGAGTTTAGAGCCTCAGGCCGCCGACGTTACGCATGTCCAAGGGTGTAGGTCTGACCAAGCGGAACCTGTGATGTAGCATCAGGATCACGCGTAACAAAGCTGGAATGGGCTTCATATCCTGAATGCTGAAAGCCCGTGTTATAATCAGGCTTTGGCTTGAACCCAACTCCTCAGTGCTTCACCACAAATCCTGAAACCGAGCACCCTCAACCTTGTTGGTTTCTGCAAAGGAAGTGTTCCGAACTGTCCAATGACATGAGCCAGCTATTGAAGATCTGCCAGTTTCACCTCGAGAAGAGGCCGAGTCGAACTAGGCTTACCTCTTGAAGAGTGTGAGAGGTGGTGATGAGTGCAGGGTGTTTACAGGGGGAGGTCCTGCACTTTGAGGTTTTCAATTTCTGTGGTCGTAGGGTCCAGTGGCCATCCCTGGGCTAACAGGATGCGGCGCTATGTATTTCTTCTACACTGCTTCACCAAGCCCTGAGCCCCTGAATGCTAAACTGTTACACCCCAAGCTCTGGAAGGCGAAGCAGAGTGGAGCGCATGCAGAAGGACCCGAGACTTCCTCTTGAGGTTGAGGAGTATGGGGAAGGTTGGAATTCAGGGTCCAGACGTCTAGGGTTTTCGTGTTCTAGGTTTGGTCACCCTCCTTGTCTGTCCAGCAGCAGGGCCAGGGCCCCTAGAGTTGTTGCGCAAGTTAGTCACGGCATATGATGTCTGAAACCTACTTCAGCAAAGAAACTTTTCCTGGCCTTGTCTCCTGCTTGAGATGACCCAAGAGGGTCTTGAAGTTTGCTTCCCAGATTTTCAATTCTCAACCTTGGGGGTTCTCAATTTTGGGATGATTTTGAACTCCTGGATTGTTTTGGGGGGCTTTTGGCGCGACCCCCCTGATTCTGTTGCAAGGCTCTTCGCGGCCAAGTGGCAGCCTTGAAGCACATCAGGGTACCCTGGGTCTTCCGCCGCCCGTGAGTGGTGATCACCACAGTACTTAGGTAGGATCGTACGCCCATGACACCATTGTCGGTAGGTGGGGGGATCACGTAAGAGAGAGCCAGCAAGTGCTTGTTGCACTAACTGCATACTCCTATCCAGAGTTTCCTGCTAGACTGCCTTACGCAGCTTGGTGAGTCCTTCATGTTGGTGGGTGAGTTTGGTACTGAGGACTTCTTCTGGCGATTTCAGCTTTTAGCGGTGCAGGCCAACAAAGAAATTACCTCCTTTGCATAGGCATCTATCCTCAGAAGCGCATCGGAGCTGCTTGACAATAATTCCAGATGCAACGCTGCAAGAATCCCCATGCCATTGGCTTCAGTTTTTGTCAGCAGGTCCTTGCACACCCTCTTCAATTTACCCTGTCTTTTCAGAAAGTGGAAGGAATGAATCCAGCCTTCAAGGTACAGGGTTAGGGCTTACTCACTGTAGAATGCGCCCTGAAGTAACGCGAGGCTCAGCTGCCCAATCTTACGCTAACTTTGCAACCTAAACCCCAAGCCCAAGCTTCAACAACCGAAATCCTCAGCCCGAAGTCCTACACCTAAGCCCTAAACTTGTGAAGCCTGAATTCCACTTTAGAAATCGCCTTGAAGGACACGACCTTTCAAAAGCAGCAGGCAAAGTATTATAAGCCACTGGGGCCGGCAAATAGACTCCAAGAGTCACAGGAATTATGCAGGGAAGTTTTTGGGGAGCATATGTAAGGGTATACCTTGGTGCACTTTGTGGTTTGTTTATTTAGGGCAGTGTTCGGGGCTTAGAGTTTGGGTTTCGGGGTAAAGGACGTCAGGATAAGGGGAGTTTGGCCACCAGAGAAAACACAATCTGCAATGTCACCAACCTTGATTCGTTATCTCAACTTCACTCAGTGTTCAGGTACAGGGTGTCTCCAATTTATTCCAACATTAGGATGGAAGCGTAGACCCGCATCATTTCGCCTGTTCGCAGCTAGTTAGCACTCATTGAGACTACTGCTGCTGCTGCTGGCTTTGTTGATGCGGTCTTTATTGACGGCGAGCCTCAACTATCAATTCGCTTGCCCATACATGCCAAACTAACTAAACGGTAAACCGAGCAACCGAGAGTTCAATGTTGTGAATTCTCTAGCTATGCTGCCCTAAACTTTCAGCCTTGCTTGGGTCACTCCTGTAGATGCTCCATGCCGTGCCTTTCCGCTGCACTTGACTACTCAAAGGCCTTCGGCCATAGCTGCGGACAAAAGGTGTGCATAGCTTTCCAGTTGCGCTTTGCATGGTGTGACTTTGCGGCTTGCATTCCACAGTGGCACCGGAGCCGGCGTTGCGATCCTGGGCAGCTGGGCGGCAGACTCGTCTACCTGTGTGCCGAGCCGATCCAGATCACCTTCAATTACCTGATCCTGCAGGTTCACTTCCTTGTGGTCTGGGCGGCTTACGAGCTTGGCCTTCGAAGTTGGCAGCTGCTGCTGCGTTTGAGGTGGGCTCGCTGTTTCATCCCCTCTACTTTTGGCCTTCGTGAAGAAGATGTCTGAATCAAAAGACGAAGGGGCAAGCGCTTGGTACAGAGTTCCTACCTGGGACGGGTCGCCATTGACTTGGAGAAGTTTTCGCCGAGAAATGGACTGGTGGGTGAGCAGCCTTGACCTGGAGGCTTCTAGAAAATACAACTTGGCGGCCAGATGGCTGCTTCGGCAGTCGGGTCCGGCGCGGCAGCGGGGCGAGGAGTTCACCCCGAAGGAGCTGGAGTATAAGAAGGAGATCAAGTCGACCGACCCTGACGGTGCCGAGATCCTTGTGCAAGAGGAGGACTTGCTGTATGGCCTCAACAAGCTGCTGGACGCGCTGGAGTCCATCAACGGCAGGACTGTCTTGGACAAGCGCGGCGAGCTGAGAAGCCAATTCTACTTGGAGCTGGCGCGGCGTCCTGGAGAGAGGCTTTCTGAGTTCTGCTCTCGCTTTCGGACAGCGGTCTCAGACTTGAAGGCGGAGGGCGTTGTCTTGCCGGACGCTGAGCTAGGCTGGTTCCTGAAGGAGAAGCTTGGGCTGGATCCACTCCGGAAGCAGCTTCTTGAGACAGCCTTGGCAGGCAAGGAGGACTACTCGGTCATTGAGTCGGAGTCCCTCCGCCTCTTCAAGGACTTGCACTCCAGTGATCCTCTCTACAGAAAGCCGGCACCTATGGCGGCCAGCCGGTTCTTCCAGAGGCGCTCCCCGACAAGTCCGTCGACGACTACCGGTACTACGATGTCAAGGCCCTGGGCTTCGTCTTTGGCGCGATCAAGGGCCCCCTCTATGGCATCTTCTGCTCCTCGTTCTGTAGTCCGTGGACCTCCGCTTCGGCAAGCGCACGTGGCTGAGCAAATGGAAGAGGAAGAGCACGACGGCGAGGACGACACTGAGGAGGCTCTGGACGCTGACGCGGCGGATGCTCCGCCTACTTTGGAAGAGGTGCTTCAGACAGAAGCAGAAGTTTTGGCAGCGGAATTGGAGCAAGCTGCCGAAGAAGGAGCAGACGATGAAGTCTTGGGTGGACTCGAGGCTTCAGTGGAGGCTGGGGCCGAGGCTCTTGTCTCCATGCGGGAGGCCCGCGCGCTTGCAGGCTGTCCGGAAGGACCGCGGCTACAAGACTCAGGCGCCGAAAGGCGATGGAAAGGGCCGTGGACTTGGGGCCATCGCACTTCGAAAGCAGTCGGGGAAGCACCCCTGCTTTGACTGTGGCGAGCACGGCCATTTGTCCGGCGACGCGGCCTGCAAGCACCCTGGAGAAGGGCTTGCGCGGAAGAGAGACGCAAGCAATCCTCGACCAAAAGCTCGGCAAGTGCGAGTTGCAGAGCACGAGGCCCAGGTGATGGAGTATGACATCGGGGGCCTTGTTGGCACAGAGGAGTCGCACGAGGCCTTGGTGGTTTCGCATGGCGACCTTGGACAAGCTCTATTTCAGGATGCCCTGATTTCCGCCTCGAGAAGCCAGGTCAACGTACAGGTCGTGGAGCTTGTGGGTGCCTTGGACAGCGCCTGCAACCGAACTTGCTGTGGCCCGGCTTGGTTGGCAAAGTACCGCGCTGCCTTGGATGAAGCCCCGGACTTTGTCAAGAATCTGGTCGAGTCCGTCTCTGAGTGCGAGGCCTTTCGCTTTGGAAATGGATCGAGTACACCCTCCTACGCTCGTTGGCGGCTGCCGGCCCTGCTTGATGGCAAGCTATTTCTTTTCTGGGTTTCAGTGGTCGACATTCCTTCCTTGGGCTTGCTGATGGGCCGAGATTGCATGGAAGCCCTGGGAATCCGCCTGGACTTTGAGCGAAAGCTTCTGGACTGCAGGCGGCTTGGAGTGGGTAAGGGAAAGGCAAGGACCGCAAGTACGGTCGCTGCAAAAGCCATAAGAGCACTCCTCGAACGTGCCATTGAGCTCGAGCGTGGAGCTTTGCCACCATTCGTCGCCATTTTCCGACCCGCGCTGCTGACCCAACGTCGGCGGCCGCCTCCATGAAGGACTGGTCGGGGCTCAGGGGAAAGGCTTTCTTGCACTTGTGCTCGAGCCGCAGGTGCCGGAGAAAGCAAAAGTTCCTCACCTCCAGGTGCAGACGCCAAAGACAGGGAAGCACTGCGCAGACCAGACTCAGTCAAATGAAACTCACTGGCTCGAAGCTGCCTAAGTCTCCGCGCAGGCGTCTGCAACATATTTGACCACCACTGCCGATGCTTCAGTGCCAGCTCAACGATCCCATCTAACCCAAGGGGCTTGAAGCTCAACTTGGGAGGATCCCCCCAACCATTGGAGAGGTCAGAGGGCAACAAAGGCAACATGAAATGACCGGCTTGCATTTGCTCCAAGTGAAAAGTCGCTCATCGGTGTCCAGTCCTACGGCTTGGAGGCAGCAGGCGGAGAGTATGGTGGCTCGTGGCTTGATGACCCGGAGGTGCCTCAATGGCCTGAGCTGGACAGCCGGAAATCTGCACGAGGTCAGTTGGTTGCGCAACCGGCTGGGACTTCGGCCTTCCTGGAGGACCCGCTGGTCGAAGGGATGCTTGCAGCCAAGAAAGCCAAGGGCGCCTCGTTAAAGGCAGCGGTCTTGCAGGAGAAGAGGAGCGAGGCAAAAGCCGACGCCGAGAGACTTGGAAGAGAGGAAGCTGTTCGCACAATGTTGGGTCCCCGAGGTGGTCTTCCCACGCTGAAGGGCGACCTCCTGAAGCTGGCCGCGCTTTTGCATGTGGAGATTGGCGACAAAGACACCGTCGAGACCATAAAGAAGAAGATCCGGCCAATGGTTGGAACACTTCGTGGCCACGCCACTCCTGTGACCACGGCGACGGCGGCGGCGGCTCCAAGCGCAAGACCTGCGGCAACTGCTGCTCCAGCGGCGGCGTCTACGGCTCCCTTGCCTATGCCGACTACGCCGGCGACAACCGCTCCTATAATTTCGGGCCCTATGCCGACGACTCCTTCCACGACGTCCTCGTCACCACCTACCTTGGAGATAATGGCTCGCGTGAACGAGACTGTGGCGAACATGGCCAACATGCAGGCGATGATGGCAGCGCAGGACGCCAAGTTTCAGGCGATGTGGTCGCAAGTTTACCAACACATCGCCGCGAGCCAGGAGCAGGAGGTGGAGGGCAGCATGGAGTGGGAACCCGTCTCTCCGGACCGGCTGGCAAGGCTCGAGCAGGAGGCGATGGAAGCTTCGGCTATGGCGACGAACACGGCGCCGAGCCGAAATCATCGCTTGGACTCCCTAGGGGTTCTGGACGCCCCTCTTTGAATGAATCCGTTGCTTCCCCGGACCACTTGCACTACAAGCTCAAGGCGGCGTCGCTCAAGGCCGGGGTCAAGCAAATGATATCGCAGGCGTGGCAGCGACATCGTAAAGATCAGCTGGCTGTGTCTGTGTCAAGAAAGCAAATGCATGATGCAATGTTGGTGGAAGAGACTTCCACCTTCCTTAATGACACTTTTGTGGCTCAGTTGGTGATGCCCGACCTCTCCTTTGCCGAGGTGTTCACCGATACTGAGCCAGTTTTGCAACAAGCTCGACTTCGCGGACACCGTGCTGTCGAGCCTTTGTCTTTGAAAACTGGATGGGACTTCTTGCTGCCGTCTCATCGTGCCTTGGCTTTGGCCAATCTGCGCCGCACCAAGCCATACATGGTGGTGATTGCCTTTCCTTGTGGACCCTGGTCGCCTTTGCAGCAGCTCACCGCCGCGCCGGCTTTGCTGCACAAGAAAAGAAAAGAGGCGAGGGCGCTCGTCGATTTCGCTGCAGAAGTCGCCCGACTTCAACTTGAGAACGACAATGCCATTTCATCATTGAAAATCTGGACCCCTCCTTGGCTTGGAAGCTTCGTTCTCTGCAAACTCTGGCTGGCGACCCTCGAGTCATGGCAGTTCGCATGGATCAGTGCAAGTTTGGTTTGCGGCCGGCACCGGGCACACTTTTTGATGTTCCGGCTGGGACAGCTGCGTCAGGCGCTCGACACCGGAAGCGGACGCGTCTCCTGACTTCGTCTCAAGCGGTCGTGTCCACCTTCCTGGGCAAACTGTGCAGAGGGCAAGGCGCTCGACACTTTCATGTCCCAGTGCTTGGCGGCAGCAAGGTTACCACGAAGGCAGGGCATTACCCGGTGCAGTTTGCGAAGGCCATCCTCCTGGCCACCGAGAAGCAGTTTGACTACGAGACCTCGCGATCCTGGAGGGCGGCCCACGCAAAGATGCATGAGGTTAATGCGGTTGATGGCGACATCGAGGATGATGGCGCAGGCGTGGACTTTCACATTGAGGCCTCGGAAGATGAAGAGGTCGCGGCCGAGCCGGGCGATCCCGAAGGGAGTGTGGCAGGCAGTCAGGCGGCTGCGTGAGAACACCGGACACCGCTCGCCTGCAAGACTGGCGCGTGCCTTGCTGGTTTGTGGGGCACCAATGGAAGCGGTCATGGCCGCGAAGCAGCTTCGATGTGAAGTGTGCCAAGAGCGGAAGCAGCCCAAGACGAGAAGACCAGCGACTTTGCCAGCTCCTCGAGACGTCGGCGAGCAGGTACACATCGACCTCGTGGTTCTTGAGGATGGGCTTCGGCAGGGCCACTACGTCGTACATGTGGTGGATGCTGTGTCTCGATACCAGGCGGCGGCGGTGATAGAGACAAGAGCTCGGCCAGTGTTTGTCGGTTTCTTCTACATCACTGGTTCCCGCTCATGGGTCCACCTCGAGTGGTGATCGCGGACCAGGGGCGGGAGTTTATCAGTGCTGAGTTCTCGGAGTTCCTGGAGGCAAGGTCGGTCTTCCTCTTCCATACGGCCGTCCAAGCTCCCTTCCAGAACGGCCTATGTGAGAGAGCAGGAGGCGTGCTAAAAGCTTTGGTGGGCTCCATTGTGGTGCAGCACTCCGTCCTGAACCGTGACGAGATGACGGACGCCGTGGCGGAGGCAGTTGCAGCATACAACAGTGATGTCGGAGAATTTGGAAGGTCGCCGCTCCAGGCGGTGACTGGGCGACAGGCCCTTCCCTTGGGCGACACCCTGGCGGACTTCAACCGCCGCTTGGCAGAGCACTCGTTGATCTCCGAGAGGCCGTCTCTGGCAAAGCAAGTGGCGATGCGGGAGACAGCACGGATCTCCATGGTGCGTTTGCACTACTCCAAGGCTCTTCGACGTGCCGAACTGGCGAGAGCAAGGCGAGTCAACGTGGAGGAGATTCCCGAGCCCGGCGACATCGTCTTCTTTTGGCGGCAGTCCAAGGTGAACCCTCGGAAGAAGGACGCAGCGGCTGCGACTACGCCACGGAGGAGGCGAATCGAATTAAGGAGATGGCATGGACCAGCCCTTATGGTGGCAGTTAAAGCCCGAGTAAATGGCGGCGGCGAACCCGGAAGCAGCTGCTTTCTGAGCTATCGTGGTCAGATCACCAAGTGTGCCTTGGAGCACGTGCGAAAGGGCTCTTCTTTGGAGCAAATCTCAGCTGGAGACTGGGAGGAGGCGATTCGCGAGGTCATCGAGGAGGCGGCCAAGGTGGTGGCTGTCGAGGAGGCTCGCGAGAGGATGGATCCCAATGTCGAGGGCGATGTCATGGAACTGCTGCAGGAGGTGTCGAACCAGGCGGTTGGCGTGCCGGCGGGCGTGGGCGCGCTCTCCCCGGGCCTGCAGCTCCTGGAACACCTGTCCAAGACTTGTTGTCTGGAGTTCCTCGTGGTCCTCTCCTAGGGCGAAGTTTCCAGCAGACGCTGTCGAGGGCAAGGTCCTTGGACGACACGACGGTGAATGAGGGCGAAGCTCGAGGCCTGAAGCGGACTGCTTCGGGACCAGCGGAGGATGCCGGCCGTGAACAGGCGGTGGCGCCTTTCTCCTCCATTCCGGAGGTTCCTGGAATGCCGGTGCCCTTGACACCTCCGCAGCTTCCTGAAGAATCTCGACAACCACCGGGGTTGACAGAGTTGAGCGAACAGAGCTCTTCGTCTTTGACACCGCCTCAGCTTCGTGAAGAATCTCGACAACCACCTGGGGGTCCTTCAGAAACTTCATCTACCGCAACTGCGAGGGCACCTTTCGAGGCACTTATGCTGAACAATGAGCAACTGGAATCTCTGGGCCGGGATGACTGGAGCCACCCCCTGCTACAGGTACAAGCTTTGGCTGAGCTAGACAGGCGATTCCCCTTGGACAACTTAGAGTACGACCTTGGTACTTGGGATGGCCGCTGGAGCTTGCTGTGTGAGCGAGACTGGAAACTTCGCGAGAGCCTTGGTCTCGCCTTACCAACTGGCGTTGAGCACGAGACGCTGGCGGCTCAGGCGGCAAGGCGGGAGTTCGTCTACAGCAAGTTGCCGCCGGAGCAGAAGTGCCTGTTTGAGGAAGCAGCAGTTGCCGGATGGAAAGCGTATCTGGATAATAAGGCCGTTGAGGTTTTGTCCATGTCCGAAAGCGCTAAAATCCGGCAAGAACTAGCTCGTCGAGGAGAGTCAGACAGGGTGATGCGACCTCGCTTCGTCTTAGTTGACAAACACGAACCGCTCAGGGCCCCAGAACACGACCTGCCAATCAAGGCGTCTGCTCGCTTGGTCGTGCCCGGCTACAAGGACCATAGTAACCTCAACAACTTGGTTCGGAGAGACTCTCCAACGGGGAGTCGCTTGGCCCAACACTACTTGTTTTGTGTGGCGGCAGCGCGTCCCCGGTGGCACCTCATGAGCGGGGACGTCAAGGCGGCGTTTTTAAAGGGAGATGAATTCATCGACCGCGAGTTGTACCTGATGGCCACTGACACTCGCAGCAACCCTGGAATCCCTCTCGCTCCAGGACAACTGGCGAGAGTCAAGAAGGGCATTTTCGGGCTCTCAGACGCGCCACGACTGTGGTGGGTGAGACTATCCCGATGCCTGGCGGAGAACGGCTGGGAACGGTCGCAGCTGGACCAGGCGCTTTGGCTGAGGTGGCGAACCAACAAGGCTGGCGATCGCGAGCTCAGCGGCATCCTTGTCGCTCACGTTGATGATCTCCTTCTGTCAGGAGATGGGGAGGCCAAAACTTCGTTCGACCAGGTTGGCCAGGAGCTTGGGTACGGCTCAGTGGAACTGCAGGACTTCGTCTGGTGCGGCAAGCGCATCCGGCGAGCTCAGGGTGGCACGATCCGTCTGTCGATGGTGGAGTATCATCAGAACCTCAAGGAGGCGGACCTATCCTTGGCTCGACGACGAGACCCTGATGCTCCCTTGACCGACTTCGAGCGACGGCAACTTCGGGCTGTCCTGGGCAGCCTCCAGTGGTTGGTGGCGCAGCTGCGCTTCGACATGGCCTTCACGGTGTCGTCGCTTCAAAGTGCGGAGCCGACAGTGCGGACTTTGATCCGAGCCAACGCTGCTGTTCGAGCTTTCCGGCAAGACTGCCAGTTTGAGCTGACGTTTCGGCCGATTGATTATCGGACCGCTGGCCTCATGGTGGTCACGGATGCCTCCCTGGGCAGTGTGAAGCTGAACGGTTCCAGTGACGGAGCACCTCAGAAAAAAGTTTACTCCCAGGCTTGCTACTTTGTCATCCTTGCGGACCAGAACTTGATGAGCGGGCTGCCTGGGAAGTTTAACATCCTGGACGCGCGCTCTCATCGGATCCCGAGGGTGTGCCGGTCTTCGTACGCGGCAGAGCTTTTGGGGGCTGAAGAAGCCTTCGACGTTGGTCTCTTGTGCAGGGGCTTCATGGCCAGCCTACGGGACAAGGAGGTCCTGGGCAAGATGGCGGAGAAGTCCATGGCGTCGATTCCCCTGACCGTGGTCGTGGACGCGAAGGACGTACACGACAAAGGCAACAGCGACACAAGCAGCTACGGGACCCAGAAGTCCCTCGCCTTCACGGTGGCCTGGCTGAGGACGGTCCTCCGGAGGCCTGGAACGGCCTTGAAGTGGACTGCCACAGAGAACATGTGGGCGGACGGCGGGACCAAAGACATGGACCTGACCCACATGAGACAGACCATGAAGAAGGGCGAATGGTGCGTGAGATACTCTCCAGACTTCGTGAAGCAGGTCAGTAAAGGCTCTAAGCGCCGCGCTACCTCGGCTCCACCCTCGACGGCAAGTTCGATTCCTGGCGACGACGTCCTCAATGACGACCCGATTCTGGGCTATGTCTTGAAGTTCTCCACCCAGCGCGGATGGCACAGCGAAGGCAGCCTTGGAGTGAACGTGGCACAGAATGCACGATCGCTGAGGACGCCCGAACCGCTCTTCCCAAGCTCTTCTTTGCCCTTCAGAACCACCTTCGGCTGCTTCGAAGATGAGGGCAAGCTGGTGTGGAGAGCTCTTGAGCGTAGTGTGAAATACGTAGACCTGGCTAATCAGCATGCGCTGTTGTCGAGGCCAGCGACAAGCCTTGTCACCTTCTTTCACGGAAGGCATGGGCTGGAGCTACAGGGCTGACCGGCCACAAGCAACATAAAATAAGGGCCATGTGAATTCTCTAGCTATGCTGCCCTAAACTTTCAGCCTTGCTTGGGTCACTCCTGTAGATGCTCCATGCCGTGCCTGTCCGCTGCACTTGACTACTCAAAGGCCTTCGGCCATAGCTGCGGACAAAAGGTGTGCATAGCTTTCCAGTTGCGCTTTGCATGGTGTGACTTTGCGGCTTGCATTCCACAAATGTTGATGACACCTAAGAGGTCTCACCCCAAATCAAAAAAATCTTAGCCTGAAGCTTTGTGCCAGATCTTAGTCTTAAACTTTAGACCGCCAAGGCCTCCACCCCCAGATCTCCTGACCTTCGGATTCATCTAAGGTCCCTAGCACACCAGCAGCGGGCATTCTACCTGCAATCCGAACGCATAGCAGTGCCTGAGCTAAAGCTGAAGAGCTTTTTGGGAGCATTGCTGCAGAGTTTGCAGATTTGGGGGGTGAGCTTTAGTGAAGGGAGTAAAAGGGAGGTAAAAGCTGTTAGGGGTTGTGGCTTGCTTCCGTTTGCGAGTGACATTGAGGCTGCTCTGCAATGGGGTTTCGAGGTTTGAGTGTTGCCTGATGGGTCGGGATAATTTGAATTTCGCGGCACTGGGTTTCTTGCTGCGGCAAATTGATTTGTGGCGACTTGTAGGGTTGCAGGATCCAGTGCGGTTGTTTCGGTCGCGAGAAGTCCCTTTTTGTTGTTTGCGTAGGTTTTGTTGATTAGGCTTTGGCGCGCTGGGCAGCAGGCCTTCCTTTTTGGTTGATGTGTGCAAGGGACTTGACTAGAGCACCAGGCATTGGGGCAACTTCCAAGTCTCCGTTGGAAGGTGCCAGTGACCAGCGGGAGGTTTCTCAAAAACGACCCGGCGCAATCCTGAAGAAGGAGCCCGGGAGAAGGCAGCAACGTTTAGGATTAAGAAGATGGTCATTCTGCGGTCCAGT